AATACACAAACGTATCAAGTCAACACATTTTACACAAACTTACACAGTGTTACACGGTCACGCATCGCTTAGCGAGAGGGGTACATTCTGAGATGCGTCGTCAGGCGATTTTGTCACTGTGCAAACATCACAGTGCCCCGGGTGGTGCAGCCTATTACACGCCTAGGCTGTATGGTGCTAATCTTACGGGACCACCATCATATATGGAGTCCGTCGTTGACTGAAACGTCCTTATGTGGTGCATGATTGTTATCTCAATTAACTAATTAATTTTAAAAAAGAGTAACAGAGGATACAAGTCCTACCAAATATTAAAACACATTGTAAAGCTACTAAAAGAGTGTGGTCCTGGATCACGAATGGACAAGTAGGCCACGGAGACAGAGCAGGGTGGCCAGAAATAGGCTGACGCACACGCAGGGGATTCACACGCCATGAAAGATGGCATTTCAGACCACTGAGAAATGATGGTTTATTCAACAAATTCTGTTAGAACTGTTTCAACTCTAACAATTCTCTTAGAGCTGTCTGGTATCTTAAAACAAAAACGGGGCGGAGGGCTCTCCAGACAACACCTTACACCAAAATAAAATAGCGGATGGACCAAAGATTTAAAATGAAACCGAATCAACCAGGAAGGTACTAGCAGAAACCAGGCGAGCGTGTCTGTTGAGCAGTCTCCTTGGAGGGCCTTCCGCAGGGAAACACGCAGCAGGGGCGTGTGGGAGCCGGCCCACGTGCTCATCTGCTCAGTTCAACAACTGAGTTGGTGGCTTGAAATCAGCCATGATGGAACATTTACACCCTGGAAATCGACGTACGCTATGAATTATGGCATTTTTTTTCTTCTTGAAGAGCCAGTTGTTAAACATCCACTAGCACACGACCAGCATATCACTAATAAATTCAACCACACAAAAATAAAAAAATCCTACATGGAGGAAAAAAATCAATAGAGTCAAAAGACAAATACAAAGTCAAAAGAAAATTATACTTCATATCACAGCTTAAGGTTCTGTTAACAAAACAAAATTCAACAGGTAAATTTGAAGATCTAATTGGCTTTATTAGGCGCTTCATGAACTGGGCAGCATCCTCCTTCCAGCAAGAAGAAAGGCACTCTGAGGAGGTGTACAGAGTGGAAGGTTCTTATGGGGGAAGCTGGGGAAAGGGAGCTACTAGCAAAGAAGAGAAAGGACTGTGTCAGGCCAGGGCGTCCTCTGTTGTGGGGAGGGGGCGGCAGGGGTCTTTCCATGTAGACGACCTCACTAGTGCTAATCAGGAAATTTCAGATTCCCTGTCTCAAGGCCACACTCCCGGGAGGGGTTGAAGCTGCTGCTAAGTCTTGGTTCACTGTCATGGGGGCAATGGCTCCATCTGGGGCCTGTTTTTTCCTTTTTTAACAGCTCTAAACGTAGTGAAATCTCACTCTGAGGAAAATGCAAATTAGAACTACGTGGTAATATTTTTACTTCCTTGATCAGTAAGCCCACAAAGTCAGACATCACATTATGGGGCTGGGACCATCTAAACCACAATGTAATCAGGCAGCACCCAGGCAGAAACACAAGCCCACACACCCTCTGACCTGCAGCTCCGTGGACACTCGTGCACGCACAGGGAGGTCTGCGTGTAACCACAGCCCTCTGGAACCAGTGCACACTGACCCCATCTCAACAACAGCAGGCTTTTCAGGGGCAAGCCAAGAATTTGCAAATCACATAGCCAGAGCATGTGCACAGGAGAAAATCTTGACCTGAAATGACACCAGAACCAAAGATTCTCCTCACGGAACCAAAAGACAGGGACACGACCAGAAGTTGAAAGTCAGACGCTTATCAAGCAAGCAATCTGTTGTCTGTGAAGATTCAGTACTAAATCCCCTCCCACACCTTGCCCTGAGTGTCTAAAGCCATCCTATCGAAACCCGCCCTGCCTGTGTTTCCACGTAGCAGCCTGTTCTCCGGAGCCTCTGAAATTCTGCCCCAAACCCTGAATCAGGGAGACAGATTTGAGAGCTTTGCCTCCTGTCTCCTTGCTGGTCAACCTCGCAATAAAGCCTTTTCTTTTCTCTTCTCGAAAGCTGATGCTGCAATAATTGTTTTTTTATGCACATTGGGCAGCGAACGACAATTTTGTCTGGTAACACGTATACGAGCATGTCAGCCTCCCCTCTGCTCAGCAGGCGGACAGCACTCCAGTGCCCACCACCAGCATGTGTAGCTCCTGGACTGGCCTCACCCTCCCCATGCCATGGACTCTGAGGCCACAAAAGAGAAGGAGGCATCTCAAGTGTTCTGAAATGGAGTTTTCCCAAAATAACTTGTTAAAGAAAATCAAGGTGCTTAAGAATGTACCTAGAGAAAAAAAGAAAGAAAGAAAGAATTTAAAAAATATATAAAGCACCAAACTCAGCTGCGGACATCAGAAATTGGCTGCGTGGCTGGGCCGGGAGGAGCCCGCCTTTCCTCCTCTACCTTCTGTACATTTGATTTTGTGTCGAGGGCGTGTACTCCTTATTCAAATAGAAATTGAAGTGTAAAAGGCACCACAGCCAATATGAACATGGGACATTTGCACAGTGACCATTCTCTGGCCCCTCCCTGGTCACTCAATTGTTGGAATGATTGCCCCTTCACCCTCTGGTCGTGCAGATTATCCAGATGCCGATGGCGCCAGTTTGTCATCTCCAGCAGGAATTTTCCCTAAACTCCACAGGCACAGTCCTTGGCCTCTGCAGCATCTTCCCCTGAATGTCAAGCAGGCACCTAACACCGCGCTTGGCCCAAACCCTCTCCTCCTGCTTCTCCAACAGCCTCCGGTTCCCATAAATGACAACCCCATCCTCACAGGGGCCCAGGCATCCTCCTCACACACTACATCCAACCATCAGCAAACACTGTCAGCTCAAAACCCACATTGATCCAGAATCCAATGGTCCCTTCTAAGCCTAGGATCCTCAGCAGCCTCCTCACTGGCTCCCTGCACCCACATGCCTCCCTGTTAGGAACACAGCAGTCCTTTCAAAACTCTACTGAGGAAGACCAACAAATCAATCCAGAGGATGAGGTTTACAGAGGGATGATGTTTGCAACCATCATAGTAATAACCGAAACAGGATATTCATGTAGTCTCAAAGTGTCTCCCCGGGATGCCTACCAGTTACCAAGGGAAACGGTAACCTTGCAGTGGAGAAAACATCAGAGTCTCCTGAGCTGAGACAGCAGGGCTCACATCTCCAGAGACAGGACAGACTGATGAGCACCCCAGGGATGCCAAACTGAGGAGGACACAGCCCCCCTGTGGTCGAGCCAAAAACACAGAACCTCATCCCCATCACAAGGGAGCATCATGGACTCCACAAAATGCCTGCCCCATGCTGCTCAAAAATGTCCAGGTCATGAGAGACAAAGGCTGAGTAGTCAGCCCAGGCTGGAGGAGACAGGATGCACGAGGACTGAATGCATCACAGGCTCCTAGGTGAGACTTTAGACCACAAAAAATCATACATGTATACGAAGTTAGTAGACTGTTAGCATTTGAATGTGGGCTGAGTTTCAGCAATATGATTGCATCAATGCTAAATGTCCTGCTTAATAATTGACAAAGTGCACGTTCTTAGGAAACATACACTTAAACGTCAGGGGTAAAGGGCATGATGTCTGGGTTCAGAAATAAAAGTTCACATAATAAGCCAAATGGGAAAAAATGTAAGCAGTAGGTGAATCTAGAAAAAGAGTATATGGAAGTTCTTTGCACAACTTTTGTGTAAGTTGGTTTAGAATTATATAATTAAAGGATAAACAAAGCCCCGCCCAGCACCTCGCTCCAGGGACTCAGCCTTCCTCACCTGCTCCTCCCAGTAGATGCAGCGCTGCCCCTTGCCCTCCAGCCCTCCACCATCGCCAGAAACCCCTGGAAAGGCTCCACATGTCCCCCCACCCCCACCCCCAGCATCACTGTCCGCTGCGGCTGCGGAGGTCGCGAGTCTGCGGGCCAGGACTCCGTTTACCTGTGACGGATCTGGTCCTCTCAGCTGATCCTAGCAGCCTCTGGATACCACTCACCGAAATGGAAGTTTAATACCCAGGTCCTGGCCCTCAAGGACGCTCCCATGATCCCACCCAGGGACCCTCCCACCCAGCCAGGTCACACCTTGGCAGCGGAGCAAGGAGTAATGGAGTCTACTGGCGGGAGGGTTGCAGACCTCATCAGCATCCCAGGAGGGTCCCAGTTTAGGCTGGGGGAGGGGCGCAGCCATGAGGAGGTCTTAGAATCGTCCATCCCCGTGATGTCACGCGGAGAAAGTGTGGGGGCTGACTCCCACGCGCATGGGGACTAGGAAGGGGCATCTGACTCGCCCCAGGAGGCGTCTACACCGCGGCTCGTCCCAGCTGCTCTCTCCCTACCCCGACCCCACAGCGTTTCTCACCGTGGGTTGGGTTCCTACCTGCAGTCGTGCACCCGAAGCCCAACCCTGCCTCCGGTCCGGAGCCCTCAGATCAGGCCCTGAGCGGGAGGCCGCTCGGTGGGTCGGACGTTGCGGAGCTGATGAGGACGATCCGGGTGAAGATTTGGGACATCTAATCAACCGCCCGGGGAGGAGCCGGCGGCCCCCATGGGGGAGTGGCCTCTCTCTGCCCCGCCCCGCCCCCTGGCCTCGTCGGACCCCTGCAGGGCGACACGTCGGGGGCTGGACTGCTCCGCCCCGTCCCCCGCGCGCCCGCTGTCCCTCGTGGCCCTCTCGCCCGGTCGTCGTGGGCGCCCCTCCGGAAAGGCCCGTGGGAGGGCCGCACTAGGGGCGGGGTGGAGAGCGCGGTGGGGGGAAGCGTCTGCCCTCCCCGCAAAGGGGGAGCCCCTCTTGTTAGGGGGGCTGGCGGTCTGGGAGGGCGGCAGACCCGGCTCGGACCCCGGCCCTCCGTCCGGTACCGGACCGCTTGGTGCCGCGCTGGACGCCAGTGCGCTCAGTCTGCTGGGCCGCCCCGGCCAGCTGCACCCACCTGGACGCCGCTCACCGCGGGTGCAGCGGGAAGCCGAGGCTCGGGGTCCTCGGAGGCCGGCCCGCGGTCTCCTCCCCGGAGACACAGACTGGCTTGCTGCAGACGCCGGAGGTTCAAGTCCACGCTGCTGGCCTCCGGGCCTCACTGCTCAGCGTGCCGCCCGCCCCGTCACCTGCCAGGGGAGGCCCGCTCCCCAGTCACACTGGCTCACACCCGGTGCCTCTGGGACCTGCAGCCGTAAGAGCAGATTGGTCCTGCAAAGAGAGAGCTCGTGACGAGCGAGCGTTTGCAGCACGGTGGGCGCTGGCTGGGCTGGAGACACGAGGAGCTGCTCTTCTGCAGCCCAGCACACGCTGGACAGAGGTAACTGGAGGCGGGGACCCGCGGGAGGGACTCTGGAGCAGACCCATACCTGCCTTCTGCTGGTCTTCTTGAAAGGGCACCAAAGCAGGCCAAGGACAGCCTTTCCAACCAGCGGTGCCGGGACAGCTGCGCAGACGATGAGGAAGAAATGAACCTTTAGTGGCACATCACATCACACAAAACAGGAACTCAAGATGAGTCATCTGACAGTCAAGGGTGCGCTGCAAAGCTTCTAGAAGAAATCTCCACCGCCTTGGGGTAGGCAAATATTTCTTTAAAAGGACATGAGAAGCACTAATGTAAAAGAAAAAGTTGATAAACTGGATGTCATAAATACCAAAAATTTCTGCTCTTCCAAAGACGCCAGTGAGAAAAATGAAAAGGCAAGCCATTGACTGAAAAAAATTCAAAATGTACATATCTGGTGAAGAACTGTATGCACATTATTTTTTTAATCTTAAAACTCAATTAGGGGCCAGCCCCATGGCCGAGTGGTTAAGTTCATGCGCTCCACTTTGGCAGCCCAGGTTTGGATCTTGGGCGCAGACCTAGCACCACTCATCAGGCCATGCTGAGGTGTTCCACATAGCACAACCAGAAGGACCTACAACTAGAATATACAGCTATGTACTGGGGGGCTTTGGGGAGAAGAAGAAAAAGGAAGATGGGCAACAGATGTTAGCTCAGGTGCCAATCTTAAAAAAAAAAAAAGCTCAATTTAAAAAAAAAGCTCAGTTTTTTTCAAATGAATAAAATATTTGAAATGACACTTCATATAGGAAAATATACAAAAGGCCACAAGCACATTATAAAGGTGCTTGACGTCATTGGCCACCAGGGAAATGCAAATCCAAACCCAAGGAGATACCACTTTGAACACTGCAGCATGACTAAGTTTAGAAAGACTGACAATACCTAGTGCTGGCGAGGATGTGGAGCAGCAGGAACTCTCAAACATCACTGATGGGAATGCAAAATGGGGCAGCCACTGTGAAAGACAGTTTGGTAGGTCCTAATAAAGTTAAAGGAACATCTACTTATGACCCAGCAATTCCACTCCTAGGTATCTCTCCAAGAGAAATGAAAACGCGTCTTCGATCTTCACAAAGCCTGGGGTGGGGTGTTGACTGTCCACACAAAGACTTGTACCTGTAGGTGCACAGCAGCTTCACTCATAGGAGCAAAAACTGGAAACAACTCCAACATCCATCGTCAGGCTACCAGATAACCAAATTATGGAATATTTGTATAATGAAATACTACTCAGGAAAAAACAATGACTGATACACACAAGAGCATGGAGGAATCTCAAAAACATTGTGTTGAGTGAAAGCAGCCAGACCCGAAAGAGTATTTAATGTATGGTTTCACGTACATGAAGTTCAAGAACAGAGAGATTATTATAAACCAGGTCAGTGGTACACAGATTCATCATACCCGCATGGTGCAGGTACCCTGAGCAGAGAAAACCACCTAGACTCTGATCTGAAAACCTGTGAGTCCTGGCTGAGGCCAAGGCCAAATTGCCCTGTGGAAACCCAGCCTCATGCAGAAGAGCCTCCAGCCTTAGCCATCCCAACAGAAAGAAAGCCACTCAGATGAACCCCTCCCTTGGTCCAGCCCCTAAGGCCACCAAACAGTGAACAGGACCCAGATGCAGTGTTCACGTGTGGCTCAGGTGGAGAGAAGCTGATCAAGACACAGTATGCCCCAGTTAATGTAGCTGTGTCACAAATGACCCCAGAACTCAGTGGTGACCATTATTTATGTTCATGAGTCCTGTGGGTCAGGAATTCAGACAGGGACCAGCAGGGACAGCTGTTGTCCACTCCGTGATGCCCAAGCCTCAGCCAGAAGACTCAGATTCTGTGGCGGGGTCATCCGAGGCTCCTCACTCCACGTCTGGCACCTGGGCTGGGGGCTGCAATGGTGGGGGCTCCTTGAGCATCTGTCTCTATCTCCACGTGGTCTCCAACATGGCAGCTCAGGCTCCAGAAGGGGCATGTTCTGAGAGACAGAAAGAGAGAGAGAACGGCGGGTGGAAACTATCACCTTTTCCCAATCCAGCCTCAGAAGTCAAACAGCATGACTTCTGCCACATCCTAGTCACTAAAGGTGAGTCACTAAGGCCAGCTCACATCTGGGGAAGGGAAATTAGACTCCAGCTTTTGCAGGGGGGAGTGTTGTGGAGTTTGCGGGTGTTTTAAAGCCACCACACAGAAGAGAGCTGAGAGTCATCCATATTATAGGAAAAAAAAGTGGGAAAGAAAAGGCAGACCCAACTTGGAAGACAGCACAAGTCAGCAAACTCTAAACACTTTTGCCTGCAGGGCGACTTACCAGGAGACATGGGTCCCAGCATGTCAGTCCTTACAATAAACATAAAAGGACCACACCACCAAAAGACTGAGAGTCACACGTCAGATGCTAAGAGAAGGAAAACACAAACATTTGCTGCTTACTAGAGATGCACTAAAACACAAAGACACAATATGATTAAAAATAAAAAAGGAGGGGCTGGCCCCATGGCCTGATGGTTAAGTTTGGCGCGCTCTGCTTTGGCAACCTGGGTTTGGTTCCCATGGACACCACTCGTCAGCAGCCATGCTGTGGCAGCAACCCACATACAAAATATGTGGAAGAGGAAGATTGGCACAGATGTTAGCTCAGGACAAATCTTCCTCAGCAAAAAATGAATGAATGAATGAATTTTTTAAAAGGGAAAAATATATGCCAGGCATCTACCACCCAAAAACAAATAAATAAATGCTGACATAGCAATATTAACGTAAGACAACCTAGAGTTTAGGGCCAAAAACCCCCCACAGAATAAATAGGACCAGGAAGGAACACTACTTAATGAAAAAGGGTTTTTCAAACTTTTTTGACCGGGATTTGCAACTAACATTTCCCAAAGTAGTAATTTTAATACACGTGACACACTCTGAAATTTCTATTCTATTCTGTTCTACTACATTCTGTTTTGTTCTATTGTATTCTATTCCTCCATGTTTAAGAAAACACTCTCTTCTAAACTGGTTTTACAACCCACTAAATTGTGTTACCACTGTTTGAAAAACACTATCCAAGAAACTAGATAAACCATTAACATGTATATACCTAATAACCTAACCTTAAAATATAGAAAGCACCCAACTTCATCTATAGATTCAATGCAATCCCAATCAAAATCCCAGCAAGTTCTTTTGAGGATATACACAAACTGATTCTAAAGTTTATATGGAGAGCCAAAAGACCCAGAAAAGCCAAAATAATATTGAAGCAGAAGAACAAAGTTGGAGGACTGACACTACCTGACTTCGAGACTTATTACTCAGTAATCAAGACGGTGTGGTATTTGTGAAAGATAGAAAAATAGACCAATGGCACAGAATGGAGAGCCCAGAAATAGACTCCCATAAATACAATCAACTAGTCTTTGACAAAGGAGCAAATCAATTCAATGAAGAAAGGACAATCGTTTCAACAAATGGTACTGGAAAACTGGACATCCACATGCACAAAAATGAGTCTAAACACAGACCTTACATACTTCATAAAAATTAACTCAAATGGATCATAGACCTAAACGCAAAATGCAACACCATAAAACACCTAGAAGATAATAGAGGAGGAAACCTAGATGACCTTGGGTTTGGTGAGGACTTTTTAGATACAACGCCAAAGCCATAATCCATGAAAGAAAGAATTGATAAACTGGACTTCATTAAAATTAAAAACTTCTACTCTGCAAGATGCTGTCAAGAGAAGGAGAAGACAAGTCACAGACTAGGGGAAAATATTTATAAAAGACATTACCTGATATAGTTCTGTTATCCAAAATATACAAAGAACTATCAAAACTCAACAATAAGAAAGCTAAAAACCTGTTTAAAAAATGGGCAAAAGACCTGAACAGATATCTCACCAAAAAAGATATACAGATGGCAAATAAGCACATGAAAAGACACTCCACGTCATATGTCATCAAGGAAATGCAAATTAAAACAACAGTGAGATACCACCACTACATATCTATTAGAATGGCCAAAACCTGGAAGACTGACACCAAATGCTGGTGGGGATGTGGAGCAACAGGAAATCTCATTTGTTGCAGGTGGGAATGCAAAATGATACAGCCACCTTGGAAGACAGTTTGGTGGTTTCTTACAAAACTAAACCTATTCTTACCATACGATCCAGTAATCATGCTCCTTGGTATTTATCCAAAGGAGTTAAAAACTTATGTCCACACAAAAACCTTCACACAGATGTTTATAAGCAGCTTTACTCATAATTGCCAAAACTGGAGATGTCCTTCAAGGTGAATGAATAAATAAACTTCAAGACGAATTCCAGAAAATGGAATATTATTCAGTGATGAAAAGAAATGAGCCGTCAAGCCATGAAAAGACGTGGAGGAAACTTAAATGCGTATCACTAAGTGAAAGAAGCCAATCTGAAAAGGCTACATGCTGCATGATTCCAACTATAAGATATTCTGGAAAAGGGAAAACTATGGAGACAATAAAAAGATGAGAGGTTGCCTGGGAGTAGCGGGAGGGATGAAGGTAGAGCAGAGGATGGTTAGGGCAGCGAAACTACTCTGTGTGATACTATAAGGATGGATGCACGTCCTCGAACATTTGTGCAAAGCCACAGAATGCACAACAGCAAGAGTGAACCCTTCTGTAAACGATGGACTCTGGGTGATTCTGATGTGTAACGCAGGTTCTTCAACTGTGACAAATGCACCATCAGGTGGGGGATGTTGATATGGAGGAGGCTATGATGTGTGGGGCAGAGGGTATATGGGAAATCTCTGTACCTGCCTCTCAGTTTTGCTATGAACCTAAAACTGCTCTTAAAGTAAATATAAATAAATGATAATAAATAAAGCAATAAATAATAAAATTTTAAGTCTATTTTCTTTAAGAGATGTCAAACAAATTCACCACCCCAAAGAGAGATTGTAACTCACCTCTCTCAGAAACTGAGAGGTCAAGCTGACCAATAAGTAAATATAAATATAGAAATGCCCAGGGCCGGCCCTGTGGCCTAGCGGTTAAGTTCAGCACATTCTGCTTGGGCAGCCTGACTCCAGTTCCCAGGCATGGACCTACACCATTTGTCAGTGGTTATGCTGTGGCAGCGACCCACATACAAAAAAGAAGATTGGCACAGATGTTACCTCAGGGAGAATCTTCCTCAGCGAAAAAAACCAAAACCAAAACAAAAAAACAGGAAAGAAAGAAAGAAAGAAACGCCCAACAAGTCAGTGAGCTTGATCCAATAGAAAATGTAGGAACGCACGCGGCCCAGAGAAAACACACATTTTGTTTTCAAGCACACATGGCCATTTACAAGAATTGATGTGGTTCCAGGGCAGTGTCTCCACAACAGGGAAAGAGGCAAGGACCCAGCCTCTGATCCGGGGGAAGGGGGCACGAGGCCCACGAGGCTTTGGGGACGGAGTGGAGGTTTAGGTCTTAGATCAGACTGCAGCTGACAGGTGTTGAAGTGGGAGACCAGTTAGAGAGTGGCCTTGGCAAGCCGACTCTGCCGGCCTGTTCAGGGACAGGAGAGATGGAGAGGAGAGGTGAGGGGCTCTCCCGAGCCAGGGCCCCTAACACTGAGGGTGGGGGTGGGGAATCGACTCCTTTCCAGCCCAGGCGCCTGACTGGGTGCCGGTGCCCCTCCTGAGACAGAAGATGGGGGGAGGCAGGTGTGGCCACAGGGCAGGGCTCTGTGCGGGGTCTGGTGGGATATTGGGAGATGCAGACCACACGGGAGAGGGCTGAGGCTGGGGGTCAGGGAGCCGTGGGCGAACCCTGGACACAGAGTGGAGGACAAGGTCTAGAGCCCCCTGCTCCCTCTCGAGGAGACTGGGCATCAGGATGTCCGACACGCATGTGGTGAGCGCCTGCGGCATACACATGGCTCTTCCTGAGCGCAAATTCCTAGCCCAGCCATGCCCAACATGCAAGGGGGCTGAGCACGAGGAGTGCCCAGTGCAGCCTCGAGGAGGAACGTGTAGACAGACCACACTCTCTCCAGTATGCAAGGACTCAGGCTTTGCTCCCAGCAGACCTGCGGCCAGCCCGTGGGGAGGAGCAGGGGTCCCTCTGTCTGCCCTGTGGGCTGTGTTAAGAGGCTGCACCCATGCTCTTTGACCCTCTTTAATATGCTTTCAATAATCAAAGAACCGGGTTTTGAGAGTGTTATGCAAGTCGCTGCAGGATAAAAGTTGAGACTGAAGGGGAACCTTGACCCAAGGCTGGAACAAAACAGCCTCCACCAGTGGGAGCTCCACAAACTCCCCGCCTGCAAGAACTCCCACCTTCCCCAGAGCTTGGTTCTGGATCCTTCTCTTCACCAGCACTGCTCCTCCCGGCGTTAATGTCCAGGCCAAGGCTGCAGGAACCAGTGCACACGACGTGGCCAGAGGCCGCCACAGAGTCCATACCGTGCAACTCCACTATCACGGTTTGGAACGTCGGAGGAAACAACATGGGCTTTGAGAGTCAGGGTCCTTGTTGCCCTTGGTCCAGGTGCTGGGTGCAGGGGTCCCCGCTGGGAACTCACCCTTCTGAGTGACGGGTGCTTCTCCGTGCACATCCTCTGTTGCAATAAATAGGGAGCTAAGGAGTGTGCTGCCATACCCTTCCTGTGGGGTCTCACCTGGGGCCACTCCTGCCACGGTATCTGTGGGCAGCTCAGATCTGATGGCCCAGGACACAATTCTAGGGGGCACCACCATCCACCCAGCTGCTCAGGCCAGCCTCCTGAGCTCCCCTTTCCCAAGACAGGTCCCCTCCACCCGTCTTGGGCCATGGTGACCACACTGCTCTGGCCCTGGGCCCTCTTCGGTCCTCCTACTGCCCGCTCCATGCTGTGATCTCCAGCTCGCTGAAGCACTGACACCACCCGGCCCTCTCGTGCTCTCTGTCCCTGGACAGGGCTGTGCCGTCACTACTAGCCCGACACCGTCTACTCCTGAGACTGCTTGTTGGCTGGTTCACAGGCCCCGGAGCAGGAGTCTTGTGCCTTGCTCAGAGGAGTCAGCTCCACATGCCACAGAGTCTCCAGCCCCAGCCGCTCCACAGCTGAGGACATGGGAGTGGGGAGCAGCCATCCACCAGGTTTGCAGCGCCCCTGAGTGTCCCCGCAGAAGGCAGTGGCGGCAGAGCCTCCACCAAAAACACAGGTGAGGAAGAGCCACAGCGTGGCTGAGGGCTTTCCTCCTGACGGGTGTAGGGAGCTTCAAGGCATCGTTAGCAGAGGTATGGCAGACAAGTGACCCCTAGAAAGAGCTGTGTGGAGCCCGAGGCACAATGGATCCACAGCCTCTGCTCTCGGTCTGGACGGTCAAGGCCCTGTCACCAACAGCAGTCCCCACAGCTGTCCTGCTTCCAACTCGGGACCAACCAGAGAAAGCCGCATGTGCTCCCCACACAACTCTGGGACGCCCATCTCCTGCGGGCCGCCCGCCATCCCTCTTCCCCACAGGCCTCCCCGCCACCCGCCCTTGCCCGAAACAGCTGCCCCACCCCACAGGGAGCACCTCTGCTTGTTCTCCACCAGGGACTTGAGGGTGACAATCCCGCAGGCAGGGAACAGCTGCTGGAGACGTGGCAGGAAGACCCCCAGCTCTGGGCACCAGCAGGAGCTCCCACCGGGGACAGGAGCAGGGTGGAGAGAGGGCAGGCAGCCCCAGCCAGATGTCGGGGAAGGTTCACATCCCGACTGTGCCACCCTCTCCTGCCCGGCTGCCCCAGCTCAGCGGTATGCACAGGGGTTGGCCCTTCACACATCAGCACAGCAGCCCCACACGCCGTCTCAGGACCCAGTGTCTCAGCACTGCCACGTTACAAGTTAAGTCCGACCGCACGCAGAGACGTGAGGACCTGCAGCACATGCTCCACGGGCCGTGGCCACAGGTCAGGGCGACGACATGCCTTGGCCTCTGGAAGACGCTGCACACAGGAGAAAGAGGACGCCAGCAGAACCTCTGCTGTTAAAAACAGCTGTGACCTCGGGGCCCCCAGAGCACTTTCTCCAGGGCAGATGTCGGAGTGTGAGCACACGTGAGCCAACACTGCAGGCAGTGGGCACGCACTTACACGTGACTGGAGCATGAGCACACGTGAGCCGGCACTGCAGGGAGCGGGCATGTGCTTACATGTGACTGGAGCGTGAGCACATGTGAGCCAGCACTGCAGGCAGCGGGCAGGCGTTTACATGTGATTTGACCCCCCTACAACCTGTCATCACAAGAAACAAATTATGAAAAACGTTTTTATTTTAAATCAAAGTACCGAGCGGATACTTGCAAAACAACATACAAAGTAGAACTCAGATGCTTCCCTTCCCCAGGCTGCCTCTGAGCACCGACGGGAAAAACCAAACCTGACCCTGCCTTCCCAGCATTCAATGCACAGGCACTGGGACAGCCTGTCGCTCTGCCCCAAGGAGACTGGAGGTGGGGCGCGGGCTGGCGCCCACAGAGCGCACTGACCCCGTCCCCAGTGGCTGTTTCCTCGAGGACGGCGGACCCCTCCCCGCAGCCTGGGGCTTGAGCCCTGCCAGACACGGATGTCCACGAGTGAGCGGACCTAGGGAGTACTGGACACAGCCTCCCAGCCCTGCATCCGAACGTCCCAGGATGGAGTAAGGGGCTGGGTGTTGATTCTGAAGCTGTGTGTGATTCCGTGTAGATGGCTCTGAAGTGAACTTTCCGTCCAGCACTCCCGGTACAAGCGGGCTCCTCCAACTCTGACAAAGGCTCCACGGGCAAGACAGTTTTATCAGCGACATGGTATTAATACAGTCTGAGCTGGTGTGGACGGGTGGGCGGGCCAGGGGTACCCACACACAGGGTCACACTCCACGTGTAACAGGATTCATGACTCAGTGAAGATGAGCTTAAAAAAGGAGTATGTACACCGACGAGTAAAGAGCACGCTGCAACCAGCTGGCCCATGACAACAGCAGACAAAACATAACAAAGAAAACAAAACAACAACCTCAGTAGCTTGACGTGGGGCGAGGCCCTCTGAGGGGGTTCTGGGGCACTTGATGGGCGGAAGGACGGACAGAAGGAGCCCAGTTCTCTTCAGAGCATGAGGTGGGGTGGTGGCTTTTCTCGGGGGCCCCTCCCCCACTGTGGGTGGCAGCGGTGACAGAGCTGGCAGGTCGTCTAGGGGTGGCCGGGGACCCTGCTGGCGACAGCTTAAGGCCTACAGAGCGGCCCCTGCCTGGTCTTCCTGAGTCCAAAATGAGAACTGCAGATGCCCAGGAACAGCCCTTCCCAGGAGCACCCAGGTCCCCACCTTGAGGGGAATGGCCCGGCCGAGCCTGCCAGGCAGCCGCCTCACACATGCTGGGGCACCGGTGTCAGCCAGCAGGGTGCAGCCGCCTCCAGGTGGGGAGGCGTGGGGGGTCCCAGGCTGAGGCTGCTATGCTGGCCCCACCAGCAGGTTGAGCACAGGGGGCGACGATGAGCCCGTGATCTGAAGGGGCATCTCCACCCTGTGGGAACCCTCCACAGCTCCTGTCTTGTGCTAGTTAGGCTCCCACCCCCAGGACCAAAGCCCCAGGAGCACACCCGCCATCACACTCCCCTGGGGGGGCCAGTTCAGTGCTGGGGCCTCATAGGGGAGAACGGCAGACCTCCCCAGCACTTGGTCACCCACGGGCCATCCCAACAGCTGTTTTGTACAAAACACTCTGGAACCCAGAGCAGATTCAGGAAGCCTAGGCACTAAGCATCGTTTAGGTTGAAAATGCTACAAACTTGACTCTTCCTAGAAGCCTACTAAACAAGTCACTTAAAAACTCCCACAGTGCATGTACAGTGGCCCCTGAGCACCTGCCGGGTGAGGGGAGGTGGGTGTCCCCATTCTCGCCTGTGGGCAGAGAGAGGAAGCGCGTGCTGCTCGTGGCCTTCAGCCCCCTCTGCTCAGGCGGGTGCCCCTGGGCTCTGCACCCCAACCCCTGGGTGCCCGGGAGCCCCCAGACCTGAACCACGTGCAGACCTGCGGCCCCAGTGATGCCTGTTCCAGAGATGAGGAACAGGATGTGGCTGCACTAAACCTACAGAAAACTGTGGGAAGAAACCAAATCCATAGGATCCACGGGTTTCCACACTTGGGGACGGTTCCCAAGACAAGTGCTAGTCACGTGCCCCCAGGCAGCGCAGGCCTGCGGGTCTACAGGCACCCCCTCCCTGGCTGCTCCTGGCACCCGGCTGCACCTAGGCCTTGTCCCCTCCGCCTGGCTCCTGATCAAGGCCCAATGTGTAAACAGTATTAATAAGCAACAGATGGAAAAATATATTTCCCAAGAAAGAAGGGGAGAAGCTCAGAACGCGGGACAGGCGCCAGAGGCAGCTGCATTTTTGTCCCTCTCTCTTCTCTCCACTGTTTCGGTGGCTCCTCTTTGGTTCAGCAGCCCCACGTGACCCTCCAGACGCTGGTGCCATGTTCTGCCGGCCACGGCCTGAGGAGAGGCAGCCATCCCTGTGCCTGAGAGGGGCCTCGCCCTCTGCTGATGGCTACTTGTGCTCATGGCCCTCCGCCAGGGCGGCCACCTCAATGGTGGCTGTGTGCTCCTCAGGCCCCGGGGCAGCCACAGCGCTCTCCATGGCCCCCGTGGGCACTGTCACAATGGTGCTGCCCCCGGGTGACACCTGGGCCACGTTCTGCAGGGTGGGGCCTAGGCCGGGCAGGGTGAGCAGCTGCAGCGGGCTCACCACCTTGACCACAGTGCTGCCGTCCTGCATGGCAGCCGTGCTCAGCACCGTGAGACTGGACGCGTCCGGGTGGATCTCCACCGCACTAGGAAAGGTGGTGCCCGATGAGGCCAGCACTGTGTAGCCCCCAAGCAGTGGTGAGGCCGGGGAGCTGGCAGGAGCAGCCTGGGGGGAGCCCTTGCCCAGCAGAGGGGATGGCAAGGTGGACACCACTTTGCCAAGCGGCACGCTGGTCAGCTGGGAGACAGGCACGCCCGGGGCGAGGGCGATCTGCGCGGACTGGGCGAGCACCTGAGAGGCGATGGCAGCCGGCCCGGACGTGGCCCTTGCGAGCCGGGGCCGCTTCACGGGGGGTGGCAGGGAGACGGGCGTCAGCGTCATGAGCACATTGCTCAGGTGCTGCGACTTGTGCTTGAGCTCCTTGGCCCGTCGGCGGTGCTCGTCACACTGCTGCTCCAGGGCTGTGGGTGGACGGGGCAGAGCATCAGTGCAGGTATGTGGAGACAGAGCGTAAGACCATGCACACCCTGCGCTGACCCGGGGCCTGCCCTGACCCAGGGACCTGTCCCGCCAAGGCAGCAGAAATGCCGTCTCAAAGGCAGCACCTCTGAGCTGCCAGACCCGCCCATTCTCCTCAACAGCACCCTCCCTTTGCAGGGAAAGTTGCTCTTGTGACATATTAAGATAAAAACAGGTCAAACCAGCCCACTTTACACGTGCGCACACACATGCACACCCCCATAAGTCCAGGCACCAGGGGCACGCTGGGGAAGAGGCACAGAGGTCAAAGGTGAGCTCTGGGGGTCACAGTCGGCCTTTGCCGCGTCTCTAGTTGGCTCTTAGAAGTAACTATGTAGTGAGTCACCAAAGCACAAGACAAGTGACTATGCTCTCCACATGGCGGTCTGACTACGGCGGTCCAGGCACCACTGACTCCCTGCATGGCAGCACTAAGCACGTTCCTGGTCTGTCCAGGACTTCACACTCTGCCTCCACAGCCCTCTAAGGAAAAGCTCCCCTGCGTGGCTGTGACTAGGGACAGTCGTGCAGGCACACAGCCCAGAGAGGCAAGCCCTAGCCGCCAAGCCTGACTCTACCGCCTGGACGCACCCGCCAGGTCGCGGGCGTACTGCTCCCGTGAACGGTCCATCTGGCACTTGTGGCTGGCCAGCACCTTCTTCACCAGATCCAGCATGCCGAAGTTCTGCACGATGTTGTTGAGGAGGACGGCATCTTAAAGGGGCAAGGTGAGCACAGTGAGAACAGGACAGGACCAGGGCCGGCTCCTCGGGGCTCCAGACCAACCAGAGATGCCCAAGAAACACACACGCCAGCCTGGGAGAGGCGGGTCTTGCCTTCACCTCCTTCACCACCAGAAGCTCAGCCTAGCTTAGGACTCAGCTCCCTCCCAGTGGAAAGGCCTGGAGGGAGACGCTGCTGGGCTCAGCTCGCAGCTGCAAGGAGCAGGCTGCACCCGGTGGCATCCTGAGGTAGCCAGCCATCCTGCCGCTGCTCAGGAGTAGAACGAGGCCCCAGGGGCGGCACCCACCAAGGCCAGGGCAGACACACAGCCCCCTTACCTCGCAGTTGCAGGGGAGGATCCTGCACCCGCTGCTGCAGGCCTTTCATGGTCTCCACCAGCTCCTGGTGGAACTCCTGTATGACCTCGTCCAGCAGGCCAGCGTCCTTGAGCCCTCGCCAGAAAGCAAAGGTGTCATCTGTGAGGGAAGGAGAGGCTCAGAGAGCAGGAAGAGTCCTACATGGGCAGCCTCACCAGGGGCTTCCAACCACAGGGAGGAGCAAAGGACTGCCAGGGGGACACAGCTCTGGGGGTCAGCAGCATCCCCCTCCCACTGAGCTGGGCCTCAGTCAGCCTAGCCGTGTTCACATGCGAAGTCCAGGGGGTCGGCCCACAGGAAATGGCACTGAACACAGCCTCCAAGCACCTGGGGGACAGCTGCTGGTGCCCGGCCAAAGGCAGAGCTCCCCCCACTGCAGGGCCACTTTCTCCAAGAAGGTGATTCCACCGGCCCTGCCTGCATCTGCCTGAGGGTGAGCACCGGGGGGAGCCTTGCTCTGTTGCCGAGCACACCCGACTCCTGCCCCAGGCCCTCCACCCACAAGAAGCCCCGGGAAGGACCGGTACCTCCGATGGCCGTGGTCCAGTCGCTGGGGTCCTCGCAGGTCTCTATGGTGATGGTGGCAGGAGACCCATTCACTGCAACAAGATGGAACAGCGGTCAGCCTCGCCCGCCTAACCTATCCCCAAAATATGAGCTCTGAATCTCTCCTTTGCACCAATTTTCACAAAACTGACACAAACGTGCACTAGTGCGACAAAGGACTGACTTGCCTCACACTTGAAATTTATTTTCAAAATTTCCAATCACAGACACTTTCAAACACAAAGAAGAACTAAAAGATCTCCTCGAGCCCATCACACAGTCTCAACAGCTCTCAACATTTTGCTCTTTCCATTGCATTTATAACTTCCCCAGGAGCTTCCAGGACTCGACAGTTAGGCGCCAGATGGTAGCTCCTCCGCCTGTCTTCCTCTCCCGCGAGCGCGGCACAGGCCCTGCTGCACGCTGAGTCCGTCGTGCCTGGACTTCTTCCTCCCCTTGCATCTCGTTTCACTGAAGCCACCATGTGTCTGGGTATCTCTTGTGTTTGCATTCTCTACATCAGAAGACGTGGGGCTTTGAGAGACAGATGCTATCCTCTTTGGCCTAATCGATTCCCGCCCTCGGGCCTGCAGCATGACCTGGATGCCCCTGGCTTGGCCATCTGGCGCTGTTTCTATTGGGACCAGGCTTTTAAACAAGCCTGGCAGCCGGCTGGTGTCTGCGTGAGCTTCTCCCCCTCATGCTGGCCTCTTCCACACCCGGCAAAGACAACATGCTGGGGAATATCACACACTGGGAATGATCGGGGGTACAAACGGATGTTTTCACTCTGAGCTGATACAAAACCCTTGACTAACTCCACAACAGGCGAGGCAGCTGCTCTCACAGACTCTGGCTGAAGAAACCACCACACAGATGAGTTTAAGTAAAGCGATAGACAGACTGGCCAAATCATCAAGGGAGAACAGAGTTCAAAGAACTAAATCCTAAACCCGACGTGCACTTCACCGGACACGTGCACTGACAGGAGCGCTCAGAGCCCGGCCCTTCCTCAGAGGTCAGTCTGCTTATGATGGGCTGCCTGTCATAAGACGGAGCAGAGGGTCTGAACCCAACAACCCAACGTGACCCTCAGTTCTCAGGAACTGAGTCCAAGTTCTCAGGAAAGCTACTGGCCCACCGGGAGTGGAACACATGTTCCAATGTGTCTCCAGGAGGAGGGGCTGGGCTGTGATCCGGCCCCTCCCCACACTGCCTCGCGCCGTCCAGGGAACCAGACCAGGACCCAGCCTGGGGCTTTGGTGCAGAAACGCCTCATCACTGCCAACTGTAACCACTGCACGAGGAAAGAGCTGACTGGCAACCTGTGTGTTCCCGGAGCGCCCAAGAAGGACCAAACCAGAGCAGCTGTCCGCACTGCAGCCGCCAGCCCACTCAGGCAGGGCGCAGGGAGCACATCTGGGGTAAACAGCAGGACCTCGCCTTTGCCCCCGGCCTCCCTCTCGTTCCTCCCAAGTACAGGGCAAGGCCTCCCAACTGACCACTGTCTGGTCAGTGATAAGGACGGTTCCTGGACACACGGCAGCACGCCCAAACTGACCCCATGGAGTGACAGTGTAGGGGCAACCCAAGTGACACCAGTGGAAATGCAACACTGGGATCATCCCTGGGTGACACGAACAGGGAGCTCAGGACCTGATTTCACTCTCACTACAGCTTTAAAGAGCATTTCTCTACTCAAAAACCTGGAAAGAACTCATAGTCCTTCTACAAGTCGGAGCAAGAGATATCAACAGGGAAGAACAGCTAAGCACGTCGGTGGAAACCCAAGCGGCAGGGAGCACGCGCGCACACACACAAGCAGAGCGCCAAGTGCTGCAGGAAGAGTGGGCCCCCAGCTGGGGCGCAGCTGCAAGGGGAGGGTGGGGGTTGGACGGGACATGAGGGGAGCCCCCGATGGGTCAAACTTGGTGGTGTGGGCACTGGACTTCGGCCTTACTGTTCTTATATGCTTCTCTACATGAGATATTATATTTTACAACAAAAATGGCTTAAAAAGAAAAAGTACTTTAATCTCCCTTGTGGATGAAAACAGCAACTCAGCCAGAGGTGGCCACCGACACCGTTGGCCCAGAGGGGACAGCAGGCTGCCATGTGTGCACGCACAGAGGCCCAAGCAGCAGGCACATTCACCTCCTGTTCACCTCTGCAGGCGGGAGCCAGAGTGGGGCTGGGTCATGCTGAGCCAGCAAGAGCAAAGCCTCAGCCCCAGCACGTACCATCAGCCGTGGCAGGCGTGAGCGGGATGTACTCGGCTGACGTGGGGCTGCTGAGGGACACGCGGGCTCCCGAGAGGTCGATCTTGGTGCTGCGGCAAGTGTTGGAGCAGACCTTGTCGTGCTGGTAGAAGTCTAGCTCCCCGGAGTCCATGATCTTCCTGTGGCAGAGGAGGGACAAGAGTGTCACCCGCTGCACCCAAGGCCGCGGCCAGGGCGCCTGCGAGCGCGACTGCAAGGAACGGGGTCTGGGAGCAGATCCCAGGAGAGGTGGTGGCTACAGAGTGGTTAACCAAGGCCAAGCCTTCAGGAGGCGGAGGTGGGCTCCACAGAAGCTCCCAGACAGGCCTCTGTCACCCCTCCAGCACAAAGCTCTGAGCCAGCACGGGGACTTGCTGCAGCCAGGCAGCTGGCCCTGGTGGCCTGTGTGTGACTGTGGCCACAGGCAGTGTAACTGCAATGGCCAGTGCCCCCAGGGAGAAATGGGGCCCTGACTGGCGGGTGTCCTCGAGATGCTGGTTGAGCACTGTGGGGCTAGGCCTTTCCAGGATGCTCTGCCATCCGCAGGCCCCCGGGGAGCAGACCCACAGCTAACAAAGGCACTGGCAGTGGCACAGCCGCGTGCTATACAGCCAACTGTGAAACAGAGAGGTGCCAAGCCCTTCAGGAGGAGGCTTGCCCTCTGCCCACACACGAAAACCAGGACCCGGTGCCTCTGGCTTCCTGCAATCTCCAGGCTGCATCACTTCCGGTCCTCAGTTTTATCAGCAAGGGAATTCCCCCTCTGCACGTCCTCTGCCTTCCTGGAGGGCCCTTCCCAGGCCCTTCCCTCTGCCTCACACGTCTCAACACGCGCACCTTGACCAGTGCAAGGGTCACACAGCTCTGCAGAGTCAGGGCTCCAACCACGGGCTACAGGCACTCCCCGGGCAGCAAAGGCACAGCCAAGGGCAGCAGGAGCCGCTTCGAGAACAAACGCGTGGAGGACAGCAGCCCCTCCGGCAGCACAGCAAACCAACTCAGCCACACCAGACACCGTCAAACACGGCTGGCGTCTCCAGGCAGACAGGCAGCAGGCCTGCGGGGATGGGCACAGGCAGGAGGGCGGGAAGGCTGGTCAGAAGGCCAGGCCACATCAGGAGGGGCTAACATCACCACCAGAGCAGAAAGTGTGAGTGTGGGACCTGGGAGGTGGCCTCTGGGGTGAACTAAAAGCCTGGATAGCGTCTGTCCTAGGCTTCTCAGAAGGCATCCTCCTCCTTGTGTTGCAGTTGACAGGAAGAGGTCAGAGGCCATCCGAGACAGGGCACACACACCCAGGGCGGCCACAGAGCAGACACTGGCCCTAACACCAGCCCCAGCAGCTTCCCACAGACAGGAGCGAGAGGTCCCATGGAGGCCGGTATGGCCACTGGAGCCTGAGGAGTGACCCCTGGACCCTCAGCGTTCTCAGACCTGATGTCTACGTGAGGTAGCTGAGAACTGGCCCAAACCTTCCCACAAATTCCTAATGAATTTCAGAGGGAAAGGAAGTGTGTGGGGAGAACGTGGACGCCTGACCCCAGAGCACGCCCCCACTGAAGGCCGCAAGGGGCGCCAGCACTGCCGAGTCCACAACAGGCTGAGCAACCATCCAGACTCGAGGAGACTGAGATGCAGCCACCAAACGCAGATGCGGTCTAGACAGGACCCTCACCAGGCAGACTGGCCATGCCAGGAAAGACAGTGCAGACAACCAGCCAGACGAACACGCACCGCAGGCTAGAGAGAAGCAGGCCGTGGACCTGGCTCTCCCAGGCTGGCGACTGTGGTGGAAAGCCAGGAGCACGTTCTCATCCAGAGGCAGGAGGCTGCTCACCAATGACCTGTGTGCTTTGCATGTCCACTTCAGTAAGGAGTAATGCACATAAAGAAGAGCACAGAGGCTATGTTGAGAGATGACGCCTGGGGGCCCGTATGACGTGCAAACACTTATTACACTGTTAATATTTTACTGATGAAGTAGTCACAAGTTCCGCCAGGTAAAGAATTGGTGGAATCAAAATGAGACAAAAAACCCTCCACGTCTGACAGCGTTGCATGCAGGCTGGAGAGTGGGCCGGGCAGCCCCTGGGGATGCTACTGACTCTCATGTCCAAAATGTGCCTCCCTTTCAAAAACCAAGAAACAATGAAACAGCAGTGGCTACTGTGCTTCCGCCAGGAGGGGCGCATGACAGTCACGGGCACTTGAAGCTGTGTGGCTCGCCCGCCTCACCCACCTGAGCATGATGCCATTCATGCGGATGGCTCTCTTCCAGTCCTTCAGGGTGGACTTGCCGGCCAGGTGCACGAACTCCTTCGGACTGATGACGTGCTCGTCGTACTGTAGAGGGAAGCGCAGCAGCACAGGGTCAGGATGCAGCCCCTCCCTGCCCTTCTTTCTCGCCGGGCCTCCCGTCTGGAGCCCAGCCTGGGGAAGGGGCACAGACGGCGGGCAGAGCACCATGGCCCAGAGGAACAGCAGGCTGGCTCTCAATCTAACATTTAGGATTCAGCCAGCGGCAATCTTGATTTGGGAAAAAGAACAAGTCAGGGAGCAAAAGGGACGGCCCCCCTGCACAGGGGCTGGAGTGCGGAGCTGGCCTCCTCCTGTCAGCAGTGGCAGGCACTGCCCACGCCCAGGGGGGGAGCTGAGCACCTGGCGCTGTCTGCCTAAGGACACACCAGACACCAGGGCCAGGGGAGAGCTGAGGCAACCCCGCCATTCAGGGAGATGTGGTGCTCTCCCTGCAGATGGGAGTCAGCAAACCTTCTTAGGAGTGATTCATTCAACAAACAGCATACAGATGGACCCCAACTTAGAACGGTTCCACCTAGAATCTTTCAACTTTACCATGGTGCAAAAGCAATGCGCATTCAGCAGAAAGTGTACTTCAAATTTTCATCGTTTCCCAGGCTAGTGACATTCGGTACGATGCTGTCTGGTGATGCTGGGCTGTGGCAGGCGCAGCTCCCGGCCAGCCTGCCCTCAAAAGGGTGAACAACCAATACACTGACAACCACGCTGGACCAGACGGCTTTCACTTTCAGTCCAGGACTCAATCAATTACACGAGATACTTGACACTTTATTATAAAACAAGCTTTGTGTTGGTGATTCTGCCACCTGCAGGCTCATGTCGGCGTTCTGAGCACTGAGGGAGGTGGGGCTGAGACAGGAGGCTGGGTAGGTTAGTGGTGCTAAATTCATTTTCAACTTAGAGTATTTCAAACTTATGATGGGTTTATCAGGACATAACTCCACCATAACCTGAGGAAGACCTGCGCATGTCTTAGATGAAAATAACCTGAGACAGAGAGTACCAGATGAACTGTGAGTGCCCCTCACCCGGCCCAGCCCACTCCGAACAGTGCCCTTCACAGCACAGAACACGCCGAACTCTCGCACTGAGACGCACAGACATCCTTTTCAAAGTCAGGGGGCTGTCCTCCCCACTCACAGGGTTCTGGGGCCTGCTAGTTTCACCCAATGTTGGAGCTCAGCTGGCCTGAGAAGGTAAAATATCCTATTCAATCTTGTTAAATGAGCATTTATTAGAACCAAAGAATCAAAATAAAACTCTGTTTACTTAGAAAACAAGCAGGCTGCAGATGGAGTCACTGAGTCTCAGCAGAGACAGAAACAAAAGCTCCAACTGTGGCCTGGACGCACCACTGGACCCAGGCCAGGGCACTGGGGCTGCCTCCAGGGCCTCCCCTCCCTAGGCCCTCCCCTCCCTGAGACCTCCCCTCCCGGGGGCGACTTCCTCTCAAGGTGCCCTGCTGTCTGTGTTCAGGTCTAACCCAGATGATCCTGCCACCAATGCCTCAGCTCCTGAGTCTCCATCAGCTTGGGTCATGGCAAAAGCAACCAGCTGGAGAAGCCCTGCTGAAGGAAGTCATCTTCCCCATTTCCTGAGCATCTGCACACTGCCTCCCTGAGCCCAGGAAGCCAGTGAACCCTTCACTTGGCTGTTTGGGAGATGGGCTCTGAGCCCAGGCAGGCGGAGTCGGAAGACCTCTCTGGCCACTGGCCCAAGCCAGCAGGAAGTTCACACGGTGCCCAGGCTCTGCACACCCCCACATGTGAGCCCATCTCTGGCCATTGCCTCTGGCCCACCCCAGCAGCACCTGGATAATCCAGCTGCCACCTGAGCAGTGCATTTCTCACTGGGATTCTGTGCTCTCCTCCACCAGTCTGCCTTCTCCAGACGCCGTCGTCTTGCCTCTCTCTGGGCAGACGATTGCTTTTTGCCTTCCAGACTTTTCTCACTAGTCAGGAAGTTGCACTCTGCTCTTTGGTGGATGCTGCACCTGCCTCTGCTGTCAGGGTCCAGAGCTAAGGTGACTCCTTCAATCCCTCCTGACCTCAGTACACACAGCACTGGATGCTTCTTTAGAACCTTCCTAAGGCAAGCCACCAGGGTCACACAGAGTGGACCCCTTAGACTCACATTCCCACTTCCTTTACTCTTCGCACCTTCTTGCACCTAAAAACTGCCTGGAATCACTTCCCTCCGCCTGAAATACGTCTCTTAGAACACGTTTCTTCAGTGATGACTTGACGGTGGCAAACAGTTTTGTCTGAAAGTGTCCTTACCCCCCTAGTTTTAAAGAAAGTCTCACTGCATGCAGTGCAACATCCTCCTGCAGCCCAAGCAGGCAGCTCTGCCATCCTCCAGCTCCCACGGGCGCTGTGAGGGACTCAGCTGCCAGTGGGTTCCTGCTCCTGAGTCAGTGTCTGCTCTCGGCTACTCTAGGACCTTCTTTGCCTCTCACTCTGCAGTCCACTATGATGCTATCTCTGGTAAATCTCTTGTTTATTTCTAACTTTTTATTTTGCCATTATTTCAAACTTACAGAATAACTGCAAGAGAAGTACAAAGAGCACTACTACGCCTTTTCCCAGGCTCACCGACTGTCTGTGTCTGGCCCTGTGCTTCCTTGTTCTCCGTCTGTGTGCATGCGTGTGTGCACACCACTCCTCTAAACAGTGGAGGGTGAACTGCAGACATCAGGCCCCTGCTCAAGGCACTTCCTGTCTATTTCCTGAGAACAAGGCCCTCTGACGTAGCTACCTGCACCCCTTAGGATCAGAAGATTACTGTTAATATACCACCTAGTCCATAGGCCATGTTCAGATTTCACAAACTGCCCCAAGCAGAGCCTTAAAGCAACTTCTCTTTGATGTGGTACCCAGCCCAGACTGCGCACTGCCCCTGCTGTCACGTTCCTCCAGGCTCCTCAAACTGGAGCAGCTCCTCAGGACACTTGTCTTCCCAACCTTAACATTTTTGAAGCACGCAGGGCAAGTTTTTTGTAAATTGTCCCTCAATTTGTGTGTCGGATGACACAAATTTCTCACAAGTAGAATCAGGTTATGTACTTTTGGCAGGAATGTCACAGAATTCCTGTCACTCGATTAGGAGACCCATGTGGAGGTTTGTCCCAATCCTGACACCTAAATGTCAATCAGTTGGTTAAGGAGCTCTCTGCCAGGCTTCCCTCCCACTGCAAAATTACTGTTTTGCCTCTGTAATTAATACCAAATTGATGGGGATATTTGGAGACTTAAGTAAATACCCTGTTCCTCAACCAGCTTTCACTGATGAGTTTCAACACCCACTCAGCATTCTGGCTCCATCACTCCTTCTACATTTATTAGCTGGCATTCTAATGTAAGAGCTTTACTTCTCCCTATTTATTTGATATAAATGCCATGAAACACTGAAATAAATATGAACTCAACAAATATGAAACAAAAAATAAGAAACAGGTTCTTATTTTACTTGAGTTACAATCCAAACTATCATTAATTATTTTGATGTCAAACTGCCCCAGATGGAGCCAGTGGAAGGCCCTCTGAACTGCACTCAGAGCTCTTTGAAATGTGGTGGGTTTCTTTTCATCCATTCGTTCTGGGATCTGCTACGTCTCTTGAACTGAGGACGGGTTATGGAAGTTCCCTGACCTCCCTCTGCTCTCCTGCCAGAGCTCAGATAACGCATTCGACTCTCCTGCTTCTACTTTCCCTTTTTATTTCTGTGGTCTGTATTCTGGATAACTTTACCTCTATCTTCCAGTTCTCTAAATATCTCTTCAACTGTGTCTAATCTGCTGTGAAACTTATTCACAAAAATGTTCAATTTTAATTCTATTTTTTATTTCTAGTATTTTTTGAAATCTGCTTATGTTTTACTCCTATTCAAGCCTTTTATTCTTGAAATAAATCAACATCATTATTTCATATTTGTGCCTCAAAATCCCATCACCTGAGCATCTGTGGGGACTCTGCTGTCTGGGTGCCTGTGTGCTCTCACTCGGGCACTCTATTCCTGTGTGCTCATTCAGGCACTCTGTCGCCTGCGTGCTCGCTTGGGCGCTCCATCTCCTGCGTGCTCGCTCAGGCGCTCTGTTTCCTGAGCGCTCTCACTCGGGCACTCTGTTTCCTGCACGCTCTCACTCGGGCGCTCTGTTTCCTGTGTGCTCACTCAGGCGCTCTGTCTCCTGCATGCTCGCTCAGGCACTCTGTTTCCTGCGTGCTCGCTCAGGCACTCTGTTTCCTGCATGCTCTCACTCAGGCGCTCTGTCTCCTGCGTGCTCACTCAGGCACTCTGTTTCCTGCGTGCTCATTCAGGCGCTCCATCTCCTGCGTGCTCGCTCAGGTACTCTGTTTCCTGAGCGCTGTCACTCAGGTGCTCTGTTTCCTGTGTGCTCACTCGAGTGCTCTGTTTCCTGCACGTGCTTGCCTGAGTGCTGTTTCCTGCATGTGCTAGCTCAGGTTCTCCGTTTCCTGTGTGCTCACTGGTCTTGTTTGCTTTACGTGAGCAGCTCCTTCTTTTGGAACTTTGCTAATATTACTTGAAAGTTGAGATAAAGATGAGTTCCTCCAAAAATAATTTTTCATTTGCTTCTGTCAGATGCCTGGGGCAACTGCCAGCCAGGAACCGCTCACAACTAAACTCTCGGCTTGAGATTTTCAGATTGTACAGGCTACACAGGACTCCTCAAGAGGGTTCCCTCTTCACTCAGTGCTGAGACGTGAGGCAGGAGTTTTCACTCTATCTGGGGGGCTGAGCAGGGCTGGGAGGACATTGTCAGTGGCCCACCCTAACACTGTGGGGGAGACCCTGGAGGCAGCAGTATCACAGGGTACAACCCGCCAACAATGCTGCGGGGGAGCCCCGGGCTTCACCTCCTCATCTCCAGCTCTGCAAGGCAGAGAAGACCAGGGCCAGACAAAGCTCTGCAGGTGAAAACCGGGCTGCAGTTCTGCCTCTCTCCAGCCCCACCATCCTCGGGCCCTCGGCCTGAGTATTTCTTCCTTTTATTGCCAACTTAAGGAGACATCTAGAAGATGCTCTGTGAAAAGACTCTGACTAGCACTCTCGGCTGTTCTCAGCACCAGGTGGAGTCTGGGTACCTAACCCACCATGTAGCCAGGAAGAACAGCTTTCCCATCCCTCTCACTCGCGGAGACTGAAGGCGTGGTTCCAAAGCACATCCCTCCTTCAATCGGCCAGATAAAGCCGGCTTCCCAGCTTAGCATCATGGCTGCCCCGACATGAGCAAAGCTGCTTTCCAGCCTCCCTCCACAGCTGTGCTCCACTAACATGAATTACTATCCCAGATGCGTTCCCTCATGCCCTCAGCGACAATTCTCCCATCCCTGAAGGCTTATTCCTGGTCTTTTGCTCACCCGAGTCCCTGGGACTCTGCCTCCTGTACCCCAGCGCACAGGTCACACCCCTCAGAGCAAGCTCTCCCGTCTGCCTAGCAGTCACAGTGCTGCAAGGCCTGGCGCATGGGCAGTGTGTGGCTGCGTGGGACCCTCACCTGAACACACTTCACGTTGATGCCAGGGCACACAAACTTCCTCCAGATCAGGTTGGCTCGACTGTCCCCACAGGTAATGGGGTACACGATCTCTGCCTCCAGGTTCTCCTCCTCTTCAGCCATCTTCACTTCTCACAAAGCGATTGACAGGGAAAGGGAAAACATAGAAAATCAGTTACAACCCCTGCAAAGCACTTCCTGCAAAAGCACAAACACAGCTGCCAATCTGGAAACTTAACGAATCCAGGAAGGACCAGGACAGGACCCAGGTGGGGAGGTTCTCATCAGCCCTGAGTCAGAGTCTCAGATCAATTCACAAAACCAATTTAACAACAGTCATATCAGCATAATTACATTAAACTACGGTCCAACTGAAGAGCCATTTAAGGAAATAAAATCAAACTTTACTTGGAACAATTCTAGAGAAAATTATTCTTGATGTTTTAAAGTTCTGAGGCCTTTAACGTCAGGCAACAGGAAAACACCAAAGGAGCTAGGAAGCGTTTTCACTACCATTCGCTGATGGTAACCAACAGAGCTGCCAAGCTGGGGCTCTCCCCACCTGCCACAGGCGAGGCTAGTGCCATTCCAGGCAGAGCCAAGCCACCAGGAGGCCCTGGAAGCTGGGCCCCCACCACGCATGGGCCTATCTGCGGAAAAGCAGCGGAAGGGCCTGTGAACCGTTACCCTCTTGATCGGAGCACCGTCTCTGTGGGGAAAACCACCTCCACAGCTGCTTGCAGGCACTGGGTGAGAAGGCTGGCTCCTACCTAACACGGCTTCCTTGAGCTGCGATGATGCTGTGAAGGCAGCGGCCGCAGCTGCTGCCGCATTTTCTGTCTCCATGTTATCTTCTGTGAGGTCGCCCCTGGAAAGGAGGGGGAGAGAAACATCAGCACACCCAACAACGGTGGGCCTTGGGCACCCTCTGCTGCTGCTTCTGCGTTAGTCTGGAAGCCCAGTGGCCGTGTGGGTCAGGGGACCTTGCGCTGACGGTCCCTGTACCGCTACCCCCGAGCAGGGCTTTCTCCAATGGTCTCTTTTGTTCATGGCTGTGTCTCTGGTACCCACAACAGTGCCTGGCATGTGACACCAGCACCGCATGCTTGTGGAAGCAACAAATGCGTAAGTGGGTCTAGTGAATTCTTTAATAAAGTTTCTTCTGTACTAAAGTCTTTTATCGTATTATAATGATTTCACATGGTTATAGAAACTACCGAAAAATATAAAATTTTAGAAAGGAAGAAAAAAATCACCCATGGCATAAACAAATCAAGCAGAAAGGCAAAAGGTAAAACCATAAAAGTGTTCAAAGGAAAAAAAAAGAACAACTTTAAAATATTTCAAAGTGGTAAAAGGTTTTCTTATACAATACAAAACCAAGAAATAAAAAAGATGATAAATTTGCCTTAAAAAATAAAAATAAAAACCTTCTGGTGGGGGGACACCAATTTTTCTTTGAAAGAACTAGGGGGAAATGTGTCAACACAAGGAAGACAAGCAGCTCACTTCCTGGAGTTCCAGAAGGAGCCCCCCCGGTGTGAAGCCCAAAGTGAAATGGGGAGGCCACAACCAGAGACCATGCAGAATGGGGGCAGCCCGAGGCCTCTCAAGAGCAGTGCAGAAGGAGACTGCTCCAGCAGCTACAGCACCACCAAGTGGGCATGACAGACATGAGCCGTGAGGTGGGCGTGGGTGGACTTGTGACACCGTGAGGGGTGTGCCCACGGCCTGGAGGGCGTGCACCTCTGACCCAGGCACCCCCTCTAAGAACTAACCCCGCAAAGAAGACGTGCTGACTGTCTGAGACAGGAGGCTAGTCTGGCTTGTGGAACCCGGGAGCCACGTGGACAGGACAGGCTGGGCCCCAGGTGTGCTCACGTGACCACTGAGTGTGCGACATGGGCATTCTTCTGTCGGGCACAACAGTGCAGGAGGAGGTTTGCTCATGAACAAACACGCTCTAGGGAATGGCTCATGGTGTCCAACAAGTCCCTCAGCAAACACCCACGCCCGAGGCCTCCCAAGAGTGGCCGCTCTCCCACCAGCACGGCGCCAGCGCTCGCCTGACCAGTGGCCCCAGCCCAGGGTCTGGGGTAGAGACTTCAAGGACACAGCCCTGATTCCCCACAGCTCACCACACCCTCCCCCGACTGGGAGGAACAGGGACCCAAGATAAACAGCCAGGGCAGCCACCTGTTCTGGGGAACACTGAACCAGGGAAATGCTGCAAGCCAGGAGCCAGTGCAGACAGCATGGGAGACCCCAGGAGACGTGTAGGGTGCGAGCCAGGCAGAGAGGCAGGGGCCTCGCTGCCATGCTAAAGGGTAGGAACTGACCCCGAAGGCAACCGGAAGCCTTGGGATCTTTAACAGAGGAGAGACGTGGTCAGACTCCCATTTTAGAAGGACATGTGGCAGCGGAGCAGAGGAGGAATTTCAGGGGCAAGAAATGAGCTGAGAGAGCCGGCAACAGACTTCTGAGTGTGAACCTCAGCAGAGGACCCAGGGCCACTGGGAGAGTCCCCCTGTGGGAGGGGACACACCGGACTCTGTGGGCGCTGGGCTGGAGTGCACGACACACTTGGGGTGACTGTGGGACACCCAGCTAGTGTCTGGCTGGGGGGCTGAGAGGTGTAACCCACACGCTCAGACCCCCGGGGGCAGCAAGGCAAGGCCACAGGAGCACCCTTGAGGTCCCTGCAGTCACTGCCCCTAGGGTGGCCAACCACCTCAACTTCTAGCACCACAGACCAGGTTATAGCCTCTGAGCTTCCTATAAAGAAGTCACAGTACAGACTCTTTGGGGTCTGGCTTCCCTCCTGCCAACAGGTCTCGAGGTTCACTTTTGCTGTGTGGAGCCGCAGGACTTCATTCTGGTGGTTGGCTCGTGTTCCGTTCTGTGACTACACCATCGCTTGTTACCCACTGGGTAGATGTTTCTCACAGCGGATTTGCAGCTCAGCCAAGATCAGGGCTTGGCCCAGACGTGGGGTCACGGTGAAGCCCTGGCTGTAGAGGGGATTCCACGGGAAAGGTGACAGTGGTAAGTGAGGAGGAAAGAGCCTTTCTGAGCCCAGAAGTGCCAGCATCTGAGCAGCAGCAGAGAGAGTGAGGCCCCAGGAGAGAGGCCACCATGGAAACAGGGAGGGGTGGCCTGCAGTGCTGCCTGTTCCGGCTAAAAGATACCTGAGGATCTGCCAGAGACCCCTGGGGAGTATTCTCAGGGCGGGTGGGGGTGGTCCAGGCAGTGGCAGCCGTGGACACAGGAAAAGGAGCAAGAAATGCAAAGGCTTGGAGGGGGGGTCAGGCGGGAGGAGGAGCTCCTTAGGGAGGAGAAGAACAGGAGGCCTTGGGGACCGTGGGCGGCACTCAGCTCCTACAGAGAACCTGCCTACAGGGATCCGGCTGCCCAGGCCCGGAGGCTCCTCTCACAGCAGTCTGTGTCATCACCCCAGGGCCTGGCTGACCTCTCGGAGCACTGGGCCTGAGGCTCTTCCCACCCAACTCCTCCCATTGGGTCAGACGGGCACCACTGTCCCCTACACCCCCCCTTATCCTTCCCAGGTGCTTCTCCCAAGGAGCCTCCCGCACATCTAACTCCACCTGCCCCACGGAGGACCTGCACTGACAGCTCAGAGCATCCTTGGGAGCAGCCAACTGTCCACGAGGGGCTGCCCTCTCGCTTGCTGACGACTGCTCCTCTGCAACAACAGCCCCGGAGCACTGGGGATGCTGCCCAGTCAAGCCGCTGCCCTCCAAGTCTCCGAGGCTGTACTTCACCTCACACAGGCCAGAAATGAGAGCCGACGAGAAATGCCTACTTGGAATCTGGTCTGTGGGGCCATGAAGAGTCACTCTCGCATGAAGAATAACACCGACGGGGCCGGCCAGGCGGTGCAGCAGTTAAGTGCGCACGTTCCGCTTCTCAGTGGCCCGGGGTTTGCTGGTTTGGATCCCGGGTGCGGACATGGCACCACATGACAAGCCATGCTGTGGCAGGCGTCCCACATATAAAGTAGAGGAAGATGGGCATGGATGTTAGCTCAGGGCCAGCCTTCCTCAGCAAAAAGAGGAGGACTGGTGGCAGATGTTAGCTCAGAGCTAATCTTCCTCAAAAAAAAAAAAAAAGAATAACACTGAGAACATCAGCACTCCAACGGAGGTGGGTAAACTCAGAAAGGGAAGCTGTCCTTTTAAGCCAGAGCTCTGGGAGGTAGAGCAGATCATGACACAACAGGAGAATGTGCTCCTTACCACAAGAGAACAAGGACACAGGGTCAGAGTCAGGAGTGGGAGACAGGAAGAGAGCTCAGCAGTTCACAAGCCAGAGCCATGGCCCCTATCACACACTGCATGCAAGTAAGAGGCCACAGCCATCCACAGCGATGGCTCCCACCAAGACCAAAGGGCCTTCCAGGGAGGCAGACACAAGGGGCAGAGGTCACCGCTGCCCGCCTGCCTCTGTGCCCACCACTTTGCACACACTGCAGGAAGGAATCCTCCACCGCTCCTGCAAGAAGCCAATTAATTGGCATTTGCAGTTCAAACTTCATTCGAAAAACATCCATTTTACTTAAAGCAAATGTCTGTGGGGACGGCCGGCTATCTACACAGTGCTTCTTTCTTCTTCCTGGCCTTGGCCACGCGCGCCTGTGGACACGGCAAAGCGTGGGCGGGGGACAGCCCTAGCATCAGTGAGGAACATTCCCAAGTTCTCTCCCAAATGCCCAGGCAGGAGAGAACCCAGCGCCCACAAAGTAATTAACTCACTTCACTCCCCCACCCTTTCTTAAACATGCAGCCTACAAATCTCAACTTTTAACTAGCAGGATAATAGATAAAACTTCCTGCAGAAAAAGAAGATAAATATCTTCAGGTCCTTTAAGATAAACCTGCCTCCGCTGCCAGCATGCAGTTTTCCTCTCAAAGGAGGAGGCACACACACAGCCTCTCCTTCCCTCCATCAACGACTGACCCACACAGGCAGCACTTCAGTATCGTGGCACTATGACCACAGGATGCAGCCAGGCCCTAGGAGGCTTGCAGCTCCCACGCCTGCTGCTGGAACCTTCCACCATGAGGACAGCAAGGCAGGTGTCCTGGAGGGTGAGAGCCATGTGCAGAAGCCCCAGCCATCCCAGTTAGCACCCCAGACACTCCAGTGAGGGCATGCGAGACCACCCAGCTGGGCCAGCAGCACAGGCCTGGCCAGAACCACTGCCTGGTCAACCCAACAACTCCCAGGAGCAACAAGCAGGTGCTGTTTGCTTTAAGCCATTAAGTTTTATGGTGGTTATGCAGCAATGTACACAGAACCGCACCAAAAGTGGGGCACTGCTCCCCACCCTGGGAGAAGGCAAAGAGATGTCAGCAGGGCCAGCCAGGGGCACGAGTGGCTGTAGTAGGCTTGGAAAAGGGACCCTGGGCCATGCAGTGGGGGACCAGCTGGCAAAAATGTAAGCCACTGTCACTGAAGGTGGAAAACACCCTGACGGACTTGCGTATGGCTCTCATAAGGAAAATTTCAGGTGGAAAGCAGAAAGTGTCAACTGGCTCTTGGAGTGCAGGTGACAATGTGTGGGAAGAGGGCAAGTCTCCTGTGGGATGCAGAATTTGCAGGGAATATGGTGGCCAAACTGTGTTACATCTCCAGCTCCCACCTGGCAAAAGCTTTTCAAACTTAGAAATGGCCTCAGAATAACAACCAAATCAAGGACCTGGCTGCAGGACCCTCTGTTCAACCCTCAGAAGTTTCTGGCCAGGAAAAGAGCTCTGAGCACCTCCAGGGCACTGTCCCAGCAGCCTGCCCCTCAAGGCAGAGAGGGTCCACCTCAAAGAACCAGGATGAGCAGGAACTGAGTATCAGAAGATATGAACATGTGCCAACACGGAAAGGTGGAGACCACCAACTAACACAGGACGAGACCAGAACAGACAGCTGCACACATGGTGCGGTCAGAGCTCGTCTGCGCGACTGGAAGGGCTGGGGGCTGTGGGGTGCCGGAAATGTCCTAGTGCAGTGTCCCACGTCCGTGTCATACATGTATTGTGCATTCACACGTGAACAGACCATCTGGAAGGACCTGCTCTAGGGTCTTAGCTGCAGGAATCCTGGGTGTAGGAACGCACCCTGCTTTCCTTTTTGCTTATCAGTATTTTCTCATTTTCTACCCTATATATTTTGTAATAATAAGCTATTTTCAATTTTTAAAAATCTATTATAAACTCTTCAGTAAAATGGTAAATTAAACATGGGATGAGATGATCATTAACCCCATTTATGCCCCAAAACCCCAAACCTGGAGAGCTGGGGGCACTGGGTGCCTCTGGCAGCAGGAATGAGAGGAGTCAAGATAAGAAGACTTGGCTGAAAGCTGGGAAATGAGCAGTTACATCCCCAGACCATGAACACAACCCCCACCCCAGATCATACAGTCAAACACTGTCCCCAGCCCCACCTGGCAGAAGACCCTAGGAGGAAAAAGCAGAGCCCTGTCTATAGGCCCCCAAGCACAGTTGGGGTGGGCGTTGCCCTAACAGGGGAGGAGCACAGAGAGAACCCAAGCACCCCGGACAGTGAGACCCCTCCTACACCAAACCAGCTCCCAAAACACCAACAGCAGAGACGTATACCTCCAGGAAAGGGGGGAAGCGTGTTGCTGCACTGAACTGTGTCCCCAAATTCATATGCTAAAGCCCTAATCCCCAGTGTGACTGTGTCTGGAGACAGGGTCTTTAGGTGGTAATCAAGGTTAAATGAGGACAGAAAGGTGTGGCCGCAATCTGAGAGGAGAGAGGGAGAGAGAGCTCTCTCTTCACCATGTGAGGACACAGCAAGAAGGTGGCCATCCCCAAGCCAGGAGAGTCCTCACCAGAAACCGAACTCTGCTGGACCTTGATCTTGGACTTCCCAGCCTCTAGAACTGTGAGAAAATAAGTTTCTCAAGTGTCAGCCTCACCATCTATGGCATTCTGTTATGGCTGCCAGAGCTGATCAAGACACATTCTCTGGGAAACCTGACCAGCCCAAGCGGATAGACCTAGAGATGCTGATACCGATGGCGCCCCCCAAGAAAGGCCTGAATCACGTCACCCTACGGCAGTAGCCACAATGTTGGGGGCTGCAGCCGGGAAGACCCCATCATGGGACTGGATCCACTTGGAGGCCCCTTTCCTGCCAGGCCAGGAGCCTGGGTGGGGTGACTCAAAAGCTAGGCTTGACCGGGACCAGAGCGTCTCCACAAGAGCAGCCGTGGGCTGGGGCTCCTCAAAGTGCCCCAGGACACCAGGAGGAAGCAGCTGGACCTGTTCTGAGCAAGTGTCACTTCTGCCACACTGTGCATCTCAGCCCGTCCCAAATCCAAGGGAGGGGGCCTGGTCAACCCTCTTGGTCGGGAGTGGGAGGTCACTGCAGAGCATGTGGACTGGACACGCTGGTGTCACTGTCTGGAAATCTGCCCACAGCATGTACACAGACAACATACCTACTGGCAAGGGTAACTGGAGAATTTAGGTGGGAAAATCCAATCACAAGGTCCTGCATTTCCACAGACACGGTCACACGCTCTGTCAACGAAGCAGCTGAGGATCACATAAATTGAACTAGGAACCAACCAAGAGCTAAGCCTGCCTCCGCCCTGCCCACAGGAGGGCAGGTAAAAGCATCGGTCCCAGAAGGAGAGCTCCAGAGCAACAGAGATGAAGGCAAGGCCGTCCGGAGGCCCAGCCGGACCACAGAGCAACAGCAGCAGACTGCGCAAAGAAGTGAGACCCTGGTGTCCTCTCTGCGGCAACAGGAACCGCGGCTGTGGCCAGGCCCTGGTCTAGTCCTTCCTCGCAAAAGCTCGCAGATGGCGAAGAGGCCAAAGCTCGCCCCTACTGTGGTGACAGGCTGAGGTCAGTGGGAACACGCCACACACGGGACTGAGCACACGTGAGGCCAGCAGGACAACCTGCCTCAGCCCAACCCCTCCGGGCAGGAAGCTGAGGAGAGCTGGCCCCTCTGTCCAGGGCTGATCTGCCCCTTCACCTCAGCCCATCCAGTGAGGGGCAGAGGCAACAGGCAGTGCATGGGCAGGAGCTATTCTGCCCCACGGGACCATTCCACCCACGGGGATGGCAAAGGAAGCCACTTAGGTCAAACATCAACTTTTTTCCCAACTAACATTCTATTTGGATCCCCCTTGCAAGAGATGGGGAAGAGAACACTCACCGTTATCAGAAGGAATGTCGAGAAAACCTCTGGCTCTTCATCTTCATTTTGAAAAAACGGTTCCCAATTGTCACTGCTGTCCATCTTACCCAAAGAGAAACTATGTATTTTTGGAAATGAAAACCATGTGGCCAGGATGCAGAAGAAAAAGGCCAAGATGAAGTACTACCTCTCCTTCCTGGCTAGTGTGACACTTCTACTTTTCCTTCACACTCTCTGCTTACAAAGACCCTTGAGCCCAGCTTACAGTAACTAAGTAAAGGACAGTCCTGAAGTCCCCCCTTACACCATGCCCAGGATGCCCACCCAAGCCTGACCAGCCCTCAAAGGACAGAGGCCCGTCCTCACCCATGAGGAGCCAAGTTGGTCGTGACCAGTACAGTCTTCACCTCCTCCACGCCGCTGCCGTCCACTGCGGTGTCAGGCGTTGTCACCACCACCACCTCCTCCATGTGGACGCTCACATCCGGGGTTGCCATGGCACAGCTGAAGAGGATGCCCAGGACCAAATGCGTCACTCTGCCAGGGTCCCAAGTCCTGGAGGAAATAACAGGCAGAGCACAGGTCACAGGCAGCCTCTGCGTCCACACAGCACTTGCAGTGCCTGCAGCCGTATGCATCTGCACAGACCCGCCCTTCAGGCCCAGCCCGCCATCTTCGGACAGAAATGACGGCAAGAGAAGAGCTATTCCAGGGCTTCTGGTGCTAGTGAGGACGGAATAAGCACAAACCACCCGTCTTTGCTACCATAAGAGCTAAAATCCCTGAGCAGAAGGCACAGAGCTGCTGCAAGTGGGCCTGGAAACTCAGTGTCCACAGCAGGGGTCGGGAAAGGAGACCAGTCCAAGGAGACTCCTCGGGAGGTGAGTCTCCTGGTTTGTTACTTGTTCCTCTGTGCCCCCTGGCCTGAACTCAGAGGCAGCCCATATCCCAGAGCTGTGCACAGAAAGCACTTGGAGACAAGTTCCGTCTCTGGTCTGGGAGGAGGGAAGGGAAACCCACACAGGACACAAAGGGCGGAATTCCCTGCTTTTATTATCATTGTTGTCTTGCTGGCTCTGCCCTCCCACAAGCCCAGTCCCTGCTATAACCCTGGGATGGCGGTGGCCGGGCAGGTACCTGAAACTCAGGGACTAGAGGCAAGTTAGTCCAAAGACTGTAGGGGTCCCCACTTGTCCCGCTCTCTGTCCTCTGACATGTGGCCCAGAGCAGACCCGGTCCCAAGGTGTCACAGCATAGAGGACACACAAGAGCCCAGGTATCCAGCCAGAGGACAAGGAAGGGGACTCTGAGGTCAGAGGGTACAAGAGAGAATAGAGAGGAGGGAGGTGCTGAAAGGGATTGCACCCTAGAGTGTACAAATGCCTGAGTCACTCCATAACTGTCCGTGTGGGAACTTGATCCTAAGTGGCAAACTAAAGGTTTTGAGAAGTGACCCCCAGGACAGATCCAAAGGGCTCTGCCAACGCTCTGAAGACTGATCTGATGGGAGGACCACCCCAGGAGGGCTGGGAACCTACAGCCTGAACCAGGTCCATTTCCTGCTTCCACAAAAATGGTTACATTCTCCCTGAGGTTTAAACAAGACCCCAAGTCTCACAACAATATTCAAAGTATCCAGAACGCAATCCAAAATTATTTGACATACAAAGAACCAGGAAAGTCTGATCAACTCTTAAGGGAAAAAATAATCCAGAGAAGCCCACTCCGAGATGACCACTGGAATCCACAGAGACTTTAAACCAGCTACTACACATTGCTTCAAGACGAAGCCAGACATTCTTGAAACAAATGGAAAGAGAGAAAGTCTCAGCACTGGCAGAAGTTATGGGCAAACAGAAATTATTAAAAATATAATAACAGAAATAAAAAATTCACTGGATAGGATCCATATCAGAATGGAGATAAGAGAGGAAAGAGAGAAATAACAATAATGACATCAATAAAAATCATCCAATCTGAACAGAAAGAAGCTGGAAAAACAAAATGAACAGAGCTTCAGGGAATGTGGAATAATATCAAAAAGTTCGACATCTGTGTCATTGACTCAGAAGGAAAGAAGAAAAAATTGTGACGCTGGAAAGAAACTTAGAAGAAATAATAGCTGAGCACTTCCTGGATTTAGTTAAAGATATAAACTTACACACTCAAGCAACTCAGCAAACCTCAAACAGGATGAACTTAAAGAAATCCACGCCCAGATCATAATCCCATTGCTGAAAACCCAAGACAAAGTGACACCGCCTCAAAAGCAGCTGATAAAACACACATCACCTATGTGAGAACAACCCAGAGGACTTTGGAATTCTCATCAGAAGCGGTGGGGCCAGAGGCAGGGAAAACATCTTTAATGTGCTGAAGAAAAGAACTGCCAGTCCACGAGTCTACAAGTGAAAAAACCCTTTAGAAATGAAGGCAAAATAAAGATGTTAGCTCAGAGCCAATCTTCTTCACCAAAACCAGTAAAACCTGTAAAATGAATTTCTGTTTCCTGAGGAAGGTTAGCCCTGAGCTAACATCTGTTGCCAATCTTCCTCTTTTTTTGCTTGAGAAGGATTAGCCCTGAGCCAACATCTTTGCCAGTCTTTCTCTACTTTGTATGTGGGTCACTGCCACAGCACAGCTGATGAATAGAGTAGGTCCACGCCCAGGATCCAAACAGGTGAACCTGGGCCGCAGAAGTGGAGTACGCCGAACTTAACCACTACACCACAGGGCCAGCCCCTGTACAAGCACTTTTATGGCAGCTTTATTCATAATTGTCAGAAGCTAGAAACAAGCCAAATGACCCTCAGTAGACGAATGGATAAACAAACATACAACAGAATATCTATGTTGTATGTCCAACCATACAACAGAATACTACTCAACAATTAAAAAAAAAAATGAAACTAGGGGCTGGCCCCGTGGCCGAGCGGTTAAGTTTGCGCGCTCCGCTGCAGGCAGCCCAGTGTTTCGTTGGTTCGAATCCTGGGTGCGGACATGACACTGCTCGTCGAACCACGCTGAGGCAGCGTCCCACATGCCACAACTAGAAGAACCCACAACAAAGAATATACAACTATGTACCGGGGGGCTTTGGGGAGAAAAAGGAAAAAATAAAATCTTTAAAAAAAAAATAAAATGAAACTATTAATACGTGCAACAACCTGGATGAATCTCCAGAGATTTAGGCTGAGTGACCTGCATGTTGTACGAGTTCATTTACATGACATTTTGGAAAAGGCAAAACTATAGTGATAGAGAAAAAAATCAGTGGATGCCAGGGGTTAGACTGTTCTGTATTCTGATTGTGGGAGGGGCTATACAAATCTATACATGTGTTAAAATTCACAGAACTGTTCATCAAAAAACCGTAAAAGTTTATCTTACCATTTGAAAATCTTTTTAAAAAATTAAATTGGCAAAGAAAGCACTATTGCACCCTTGCATATATGGTCAACTGATTTTCGACAAGGGTGCCAAGACCATTCAATAGGGAATGGGGACAGTCTTTTCAACATATGGCATCGGGACAACTGGACAGGGACATCTACATGCAAAAGAATAAAGCTGGACCCTTATCTTACACCTTATACAAAAATTAACACAAAATGGATCAAAGGCCTAAATATAAGAGCTAATATGGTAAAACTCTTAGAAGAAAACATAGGAAAAAAAGTTCATAACAATGGATTTGGCAATGAATTCTTGGATATGACATCAAAAGCACAGGCAACAAAAGAGAAAATAAATGAATTAGATTCCATGAAAATTAAAAACTATTGTGCATCAAAGGACATTCTCAAGAGAGTGAAAAGGCTACCTATGCAAGAGGAGAAAATATTTGCAAAACATATATCTCGTAAGGGATCAATATCCAGAATATAAAAAGAACTCCTATAACTCAACAACAACAAAAAAACAATTTAAAACATGGGCAAAGGACTTAAAACAGCCACTTCTCCAAAAAAAATATGCAAATAGCCAGTAAGCCCATGAAAAGATGTTCAGCATCACTAGTCATTAGGGAAATGAAAAGTGATACCACTTCACACTCATCAGGATGGTTATTATAAAAAAACACAAACCAAAAAATGGAAAGTAAGTGTTGTCCAGGATGTGGAGAAACTGGAAGCTCGTGCATTGTTAGCAGACAAGTAAAACGGTGCAGCTGCTGTGGAAAACAGTTTGGTGGTTCCTCCAAAAATTAAACATAGAATTACCATATGATGCAGCAGTTCCACTTCTGGGTTTATTCGCAAAAGAACTGAGAGCAGAGTCTCAAAAAGCTATTTGTACACCAAGATTCACAGCAGCATTATTCACAACAGCCAAAAGGCAGAAGCAAGCTACGTCCATCAAGAGATAACTAAAGAAACAAAATACAGCCCATACACACACACAAAGTGATGTCACCCAGCTTTAGAAAGGAAGGAAATCCTGACACCGCCTACAGCACGGACGAACCCTGAGGACGTTATGCTCAGTGAAACAAGCCAGGCACAAAAGGAGAAGCACTGTGTGAATGCACTCACGCGAGGCACCTTGAGGAGTCAAATTCAGAGACACAAAGTAGGATGGTGGAGCCAGGGCTGGGGGAGGGGGTGGGAGTTGGCGTTTATTGGGGACAGAGTTTCCATTTGGGGAGATGAGAAAGTTCTGGAGACGGATGGTGGGGATGGTGCACAACAACGTGAATGTACTTAATGGCACTGAAATGTGCACTTAAAATGGTTAAGATGGTAAATTGTATGTGAATTTTACCACAATAAAAAACCCTTTTTAATCCTATTACAATAGAAAGACTTATCAGGACTAAATATAGACTACAAAGTAAAGAACATAAAAACTTTCCAGAAAAGAAACATTTTCAGACTTCATTTTATTTATACTTGTTAATGTGCGAATGACACCACCTGCCTAGCATTGTACCAAACAATGAGTGTGTCCTAGGATAGGAGCTGGGACATCGCTGGCCAGCAAACACAGGCACCCACCCAAGCTGGAGAGACAAGGGGGCCCGCCAGCACTCGCTCACCACAGAAGCTCTTCCAGAGGAAGCCATCCACGCCTGCCAGGCCTCTGAGCGCCCAGCAAGACCACAGAAATTCAGCCTTGGGAAATGAGTAAGAAAAACCAAAGTGGAGCAAACTGGAGTGGAGGGCCTGCCGGGGAGCCCTGGCCCATCACACACCGCCTATCACTCCAGACAGGAGACGGACTTGCACCTGGACAGGAAGCACAGCTACCTCACTGCTGCAGAAGATTTCTCTCCCGACCCGGCAACAGCCCAGCCAATGAGAAACACCGAAGCTCAGCCAATGAGAAACGCCACATCCCAGCCAAGGAGAAATGCCACAGCCCAGCCAATGAGAAACACCGAAGCTCACCCAATGAGAAACACCAAAGCTCAGCCAATGAGAAACAGTACTTTTCAGCCAATGAGAAAGGCCACAGCCCACCCAGTGAGAAAGGCCACGGCCCAGCCAGTGAGAAACAGTACATTTCAGCCAATGAGAAATGCCACAGCCCAGCCAATGAGAAACACCACAGCCCAGCCACTGAGAAACGCCACAGCTCAGCCAATGAGAAACAGTGCATCTCAGCCAATGAGAAACAGTGCATCTCAGTCAAAGAGAAATGCCACAGCTCAGCCAATGAGAAACGCCACAGCCCAGCCAGTGAGAAACGCCACAGCCCAGCCAATGAGAAACAGTACATCTCAGCCAAAGAGAAATGCCACAGCTCAGCCAATGAGAAACGCCACAGCCCAGCCAATGAGAAACACCAAAGCTCAGCCAATGAGAAACAGTACATTTCAGCCAATGAGAAACGCCACAGCCCAGCCAATGAGAAGCCGCAGCCGCCCATCTGTCCCTCCCCCAGTGGACTTCCGTCTGGAGCAGCCCCGCCCTCTCCCTTTTCTGTATAAAAGGGGCTCCTACGTTGCTCTCTCGGTTTGCCTGCGGTTCACGAGGGTACCTGCCCGAAGCTGCAATTCTTCTGTCTATTCCCAAATAGACTCGTTCTGAGGGTAAGGTAACCGGTGAGTTTGGTTTTTAAGCTGACAATATTAAACACAAACACTAGTGATTAGATGCCAGGAACAAGAAAGTATTCCTCCTTTCCTGCTTTAACAACAAGCGATGGGAAGAAAGGCGGTGTAACAACATGAGGAAAGACACCATACTAGAGCCCTCGGCCGGTCCTGCCGTCCGTCCCCAGCGGGCAGCCCTCCGAGGCCGCCTTCAGATGCCTTTTCGCCAGAAAAGCCGCAACAAGGAATTCACGTACATAGACAGACGTACTGCTACTTCTAGAACATAACTTTTGCGTTTTAGATTTAGGCTTTGAAACAGAGTATTAAAGAAACAGTAAAAGTCCACTTTAAAACTGCCCTTATACTAACACTGATCCATGGTGCTGGTTTCTCAGCATTTAGCCACCTTGCCGAGGTACCTCTCTTTTCACCAGGTGGGCTCCGTCAAAGTCACGCTTCAACCAAAAGCTGCAGAAAGACAGGAGTCCACCTACAAGCAGTCCTTCTCACCCAAATTTCAAAACTTCACAAAACACTAAGTAGTGTAAATGCACAAAAATGAATTCTTGCCTCTCCAATGGCAACTGTATTAAGTTTTCAAAACAACACACACAAAAGGTACTTCACAGAAAGCAGTTCAAGTACCTGATTCGATGACGTTTAGACACAGGACCAGCACTGCAGCGAGCAATCCCCACGCCCCCGCTCCGGGAGGGCCAGCTCCCGACCCGAGCAGGATCCTCGTGGCCCCTTCACACACGGCGGAGCCGAGATCCAAGCCCCGTTCTAATCCTAAAGCTGGGGCTCCTTCCTAGTATGAACTGAACCCCAATTAATTTTGAGGCAAATGAGATATGTGGAAATATTTTTAAAACAGCATTTCTGGGCATAAATATGCAAAAACAAAACAAAAAGGCTAATGTGCAATCGGTATATCACATCCAGATCTAATTTCCCACGTCTTCTGCAAAATCACAAATATTTTCCTTTGACAAAAATACCACTAGAAACATAGCAGAAATCACATACCAGTGCCCCACAGGCATGATTTCTTCGATTTTCACATCGTTTCAAGTTTTCTGAAACGTGTCAGAAGAGGTGACCCCTGGACCCGGTCCCGCAGTGCTGCCTCTGCTGGAGAATCGGCTTCCGCAGCCCCGCCCTCCCCTGGGGGGCACAGATGCACCAGCTGCCCGCCTCGGCCACACCCTCCAGGTCACCCCCGCCAGGCTGCACCAGGCACGCGAGTGTCCAGCCCCCGATACACACGAATTTGTCTTCTGGCCCTGAAAAGATACTTGAGCACTCTCCCTTCCCAGTTCGGGCATGAAGTAGGTTATTCTTTTAAGGCCTAGGTTTGAATACAGTGTTATAAGTGTTCTAAATTCATAGAAACAGTTACATGTTTGTACATAAATATACAAATTCTTCCCCTGTCCAGAA